ATTTTTCACGGTTTCCCCAAGTGTTTTGTAATTGTTTTAAGTCTGTTGCTTGAATCAGTACACAAATAATTCCACACATTCCAGTCAGTTAATATATTTCTTAAGTTTTGGGTGTTTTTTTTAAACTTTTCTATCAGAAGCGTCATTGTCCGATGGAAGTGTCTCAGGTCTGGATTTTACTGATGCTGTCCCCGAGCATGACCCCCTCTCTCGTGCCTCTAAATTCCCTATAAACCAGTGGCTACCTCTAGAGACTTGATCAGACTCAAGGTAGATGGGTTTTGCTTGTTTTCTGTTTTTCGAAAGGCTACTTTTTACATGATACTAAATACAGCTGTCAGGGAGTTCATTAAAGATCATTGTCTCTCAATTAAGGAATATGGCAAGTCATTGATGATCATCTCCAGGATTCATAAATCAGGGTTCCTAAAAGGGTAATCGTTCAATTCCGTTATCCCTTGTCTCTTAGCTGTCATGCCTCTATAAACTGAAACTTCCTCTAGTCAACTAATTGGTTACCCCAGGTACAGCCTGTGTAGGAGGGGGCTGGTGAATGCTTGATTCTTCCCCGTTTTAAAATTAATATTTCTCCTCCAACATACTTCAGAGATGCTCAATATTTTCTTTCCTTTTTAAGTACCATTGCCAACCTGTGCTTTTAAACATATTTGGTTTGTTTCCACTCATTCCCATTCTCCTTCCCGATACCCAAAATACCACAGGGCAGACCTCCTCAGGTGACTTCTTCATTCTGACACGGCGCTAGGACGCATCTGAGGTTTCCTTGCTTTCTGGAATGACAGTTGGTGCATGCGCATTTCTTACTTTTTCCAAGTCAGATCTGGAATTAGACATTTCTTTTTTTTTTTAGACATTTCTTTTAAAGAAAAGCCATACCCATTTTTTGTCAGAAATGGCATTCAGACAGACAACCAGGGCGGTAGGACCCCTCTTGTTGTTGTTGGGTTGGTCGTTGTCTGTAGGGCTTTTCACTGAGCAGAATTGGGGGTGGTGGTGGAATTTAGGGTAAAATTAATCACAAGTTCAGACTGTCAACTTTCCATGTAAATCCAGGTTTACAGATGTTTTCAAATTTATCTTCACTAGTCATATCAACCTCTCTGCAATTGCACTGAAAACCCTTCTCCGTCACATCAGCACACACATACAACCGTCTCAGCATCACAACACTCCCGTCACCCACACCTTGTGACTGAAAACAGTTGATCTGTTTGCAGCTCATTTTGTCCATACAGTGCATCCCACATTATTGTTCAGTTAAATTACAGATTTAAAGTCACTTGGAAAAATTCCCTCTGAATAATATTGCCACCCGTTGAAGATATATTTTACCTCTTTCTTTTTAGGGATTTTTTTAAGTGTAATGTATCTTATAAGGATGCAAAATAATTATCTGGTTCCTGTGGCATAGGTCTCTCTCTGTGGCACAGTTAATGAATTTATATGACTCTGCTAGCCAGACATTGTAACTTCCACCAAAATGATTAGGTGAGACCATGCAAATAGGATGTCTGGAATGCTCATGCGGGAACTGGTCAGCTTTTCCTTTCCACTGAGTTTAAAATAAGTCATCTCAGAAGCAGAGAAGTGAGAGGGAGGAGTCTCAATATCAAGAGTGGAGTGTGTTCTCTGGACCCCCCTATCCCTGTGTGCTCTACCCCTTCAATCCAGGAGACAGAGAGCTGTGAAGTAGAGACATGGTGGAGAGATAAGAGCAGGAGACAGAGCGACAGGCTTCCTGGATCGTGGATCAAGTAACGCTTACTATCTCTGGACAGGAGGTTCACTTGTGGAGTGGGGAATCTCCGGGCCTTGGACTGGGGAGCTAGTTTGGCTGATCCATGAAGCTTGAGCCAAGGATATTTGGACTAAGGCTTACTTATTGTGGAATAGCATGCCCTTTGGGGATTTATTGGCAGTGCTAAAAGAGCTTTATAACATTTCCCAAAGAAGGCCGAGGCTATGGTGTCACACGACTGATTGGTGAGGATCGCAGAGTGACGTGTCTACAGCCACAACAGAGAAGAGACTGTCTTGACTGGTCGAACTGTGCCTTGCACATTTCTGATTTTGAACTTCCCTAATAACCCATCGTCATGAGTATTTTCTGTGCGTTCTTTGTGGCCATTGCCATGACTTTTTAAACCCAAGGAGAAGAAGAGAGTGTCGCAAGACATGACTGGTGTCAGCATTAGTCAAGAAGGTTGGAGCATGTCTGATCTCCACCTCACAGGAGCTGGCCAAGGACTGGTGCTGAATTTCATTGTCCTCCTCCTTTGTGAAGTCAGCAGAGGGCTTGCATTGCCCCAACCACGTTACAGTGTCATTTTTGTTTAACTTCATAGTTTACTTTCTTATCTTTGTGTGTGTGTGTGTTAGCCTGAGTTGACTAAAGAAACAAATGCAGGGACATTCATATTATGTATAAGGAAGAGCTTTATATCAGAGAGTAATTGTATATCAATAAAACATCCCAGCCCAGTCCAGATCAAGTCCATAAGTCCGATACTAGTCCATAAATCCCTCTTCAGAATTACACAGCTCCATGCAATGATGCAGAATGCAGGAAGACCACAGGCTGGTGGATGCAAAGTCTTGTGAATCCAATGGCGATGGACGTATCTCCAGGGCTCCTACAGGTCTCTGAGTGGCTTGCCAGCAGGAAGGTGAAGGCAGAGTAGGAGAGAGAGGAGGTTCCCAGGACCCTCTTTATGAAGAGGCCACGCCCACAAGGAGGCACCATCAGGCTGTGACCTGACTGACAGGCCAGACTCCACCCCTACGCTTTAAGTGGACACGAAATGATGTAACTACTACAGTGTGTGTGTGAAATCCAGTTACTATCAAGTGGATTCCAACTGTAAAAACGTCACGTTTGTCAGAGTAGAACTATGCTCCACAGGATTTTCCATAGCTGAGGTGTTGGGAATTAGATTGCCAGGCCTGTCTTCCAAGGCACATTTACATGGATGTGAACCTCCAGTGTTTCCTTTTACAACCAGGCATGTTAACTGTTTACACCACCCAGTGTAGAAGAGGGGTGGGGAAAATGCATATATGTATATCCTTGCTTTTATCACTTAATATAATCTGCAAATACCTTCTATAGTAATGTATGCTACTCTTGCTATTTCTCATTCCTTTTTACAGTATATATTACACCACTGTGTGGATGTGCCACTGTTCGTGTAATCACTCCTCTATTAGACATGTGTTTGACTTTTATTTCTGTCTTTTATAAATAGAGTTAACTAGATAGCTTTGTTTATCTGCCATCATAATGTGGTGTTTCAGGGTCCAAGGATAAATGCATGTACAACTTTGCTACCTATTACCATGTTCCCCAGCATAAAGATTGTGCTGTGTTTTATTCCCATTGGGTAGGATTGTTTGTTTCTCCACAGATTACCTGTAAGGATGATGCTGTCCTTGGGGCGTCCTCAGTCTATTAGGTGTCTCTGGAATTTAATTTGTGATTCTCTTCTTCCAGAGACTGAGCACATTTTCCAATGTTTAGCGTTGATTTTCCTTTCCTCTTAGTGGTTCTCAATCTTACTAATGCCGTGAACCTTTAATACAGTTCCTCATGTTGTGATGATCCCCCAACCAAAAAATTACTTTCGTTGCTACTTCCTAAGTGTCATTTTGCTATTGTTATGAATCGGGTGACCCCTGTGAAAGGGCCGTTCAACCCCCAAAGTGGTCATGACCCACAGGTTGAGAACCGCTGCTCTATATGAATTGTGCCTCTCTCGAGTAATTAGTTAAATTTGATAGTTTTCTACTTAAAATTTTTTCACCTAAGCTTATACAATCGAACCCCAGTACTCGACCGCATCAGTACTGGACATAATTGGATTTCAGCGCGAAATGTTGAGAAAATTTTGCATCAGAGCTCAAACAAAACATTGGAAGCTGACCTGATGCAGGTGATTTTTGTGAACAAGAGCAGTTCGTGTTTCGGTCCTCGGCGTTATTAGTTCGCGTTGCTTAAACCGTTTGCAGCTGTGTTCCAAGCATTTTGCTATAATTTTCTTAGTCTTTGTGGCTTTTTGTACTGTTTTTAGATTTTAAAATGCCATGGGTCCTAAGAAAGAGTTTTTTTGAAAAGAATCGTCAGGATAAGGAACTGGTCAACCCTGTTTTCTAGATTGTTGATGATAATTTAGTAAACTCTTTTAGAAAACACTTAAGGAAACGCCAACAGCAGACCATATAAGAAAGCCAGCCAGGTCCTAGTGAAAAAAAAGCAAAGGGGGAAAAACTCCTGAAAAGCAGCTCCCAGTTGCTTTATGGGAGGGGATTCCCCTTCCACACAATGACCCTCTCCATCCCTCTCTCACAGCCTGTCCTCAGAGCCAGATCCTCGTCCATCTCAGGGCTTGGGCCAGCTGTAGTTGTTAAAAACGTTTTCCATGTGGTATTTCTTATTTAAATTATATGATTTAACTCTGAACTTATTTACTTTGAAATTGTTGTGTAATTATTATGCATAAAAAGGCAAGGTTAGGGTAAAAACTTGGTTGTCAAGAACAAATTAATCTGTTTTCAGTTATTTTTTATGGGAAAAATTTATTCGGAACTTGACTGCATTGCATCTCCACGCTGCTTTTAGAATGGATTAGCGGCAAGGTCCGGGGTTCCACCGTAGTGAGATTAGTTTTATTTTTCTTGCTCACGTTTTAATAGCATGCTTCTGCTATCCTCATTAAATAAGTTGGGAAGATTCCCATGTTTTTAATACTATGGAACATTTTAAATAGATAGGAACTATGTGCTCCTTATAAACTTGAAAGAACTTTTCTGTAAAATTATTTTGGCTTTGTGATTTTTTTTGAAAATAGTTATTTTTTGTTGCTTATGATTTTATTTTTTTATCATTTACGTTTCACCCGTGGATATTGTTCTGTTCGGGGACCTTTTTCTGAGCCAGTTTTCATCGTCTATTTGTTGTGCACCGTGGTCCTATGTTGTTTCTCCCCCACGTAAGCGGTTCTATTCTTTCATTATTCCTAACTTGGTAAATTTTTGTCTTCTCATTTTTAGACATGTCATATTTAGATTGATCAACTTTACCGTCTTTATTAACTCCTCTCCTATTCATTTTATTCTTTTTAATTCATTTTGTTTATCTTTATTCAGTCTTATTTAAAAGAACCTTTTGGGATCTAAATGTCTGTGCTCTGTTATATTCCATACATGTTGACGTACAGCAGCGGTTCTCAACCTGTGGTTGCGGCTCGTTTGGGGGTTGAATGACCTTTTCACAGGGGTTGTCTAAGACCATCAGAAAACACGTATTTCCTATGGTGTTGGGAACCAAGACACCGCTCCTCTACCCATCTCCAGGCGGGCCCACCCACACGCAGATACGTCCACAGACAAGTACCCAGCATGATGACATCGTGCCAACCCCATCACATACACCCTGTACAAATACAGGTGTATGTGACAGGGTTGGTGCCATGATGTACTTATGTGGACCAGTCACACGTGTAGAGATCAGCTACTGTGGAAAGAGCAGCTGCTGTGTAGAGAGCAGCTACTCTGTTAAAAGCAGCTGCTGTGTTGAAAGCAGCAGTGTTGGAGGTAAAACGACACTTCATGAATTATAACTGCTGGGTAAATGTACTACTGGAAAAAAAAATAGCTCTCCCATGGGAACTTAATCTGGATGCTTATCCGTCTTTTTACATCCAGCCGTGGTTATGTTCAATTTGTAGCAATGAAAATACAACCTGCACATCAAATCTTTATATTATGATTCATCACAGTATCAAAATTACAGTGATGAAGTAGCAACAAAAATAATTGTATGGTTGCGGGGGTCACCACAACATGAGGGACTGCATTAAAGGGTCACAGCATTAGGAAGGTGCAGAACCACTGACACAGTGTTCTCATGGACATTATTAAGGAATTATTAAACTTAGTTTTATTTCCTCTTTGACCTAAGAATTATTTTAATCAATACAGCATTTTTTCATTTTTATCCTATTATGATTTTATTTTGTAACTTTGCAATCAGAAAATGTTCTATAAACTTTTCACTGCTGTTTTCTCTGTAGATTAGAATGTAAGTTCTAATAATAGTTCCCTGCTGGAATTTTAGGGAGTCCTGGTGACATTATGGGTTAAATGTTTGGCAGATAAGCACATGTTTCAACAGTTCAAACCCACCCATCCATGGGAGAAAACTAAGGCCATTCGCTCCTGTAAGTCTGGTCTTGGCGGTTGTAATCTTGATTTTGCTGAATCAAACTCGATACTTGGCCAGCTGACCTCCCTGTAGACAGACCTGAGTTTGTTCTGGGTGCAAGTATCTCTTAGATGTTCCATGGCAGAAATTTCTTCCCTGGCTCTTTGAATGTTGATGGGGGTCTTTTCTTTCTTACACATTATTTGTATTTTTGTCTTTATACTAATATGTTCTAATCTTTACGATCTTAGGCTTAGTGTGATTTGTGTTCATTGTTTTCTGCTGGGTTTCCCAGCTGTGAAGCATAGGAGGGGTGGATGTATAATGATAAATAACTGACACAAGGTGTTATAGGGAACGCAGGGGCTGTGGGTGAGCCATAGGGAGGGAAAGGGGATTTTAGGAGTAAATAATGAAGGGGGGAGGTAGCAGGAGAACTGAGTCTAAGGTAGCTGTGGTGGTGATTGTGCAATTCTCCCTGATAAGATTGAACGATTGAAATATTCCCGTGTATGATAAGTAAATTATGGGCCAATAAAACTGTTGAGGAAAAAAGCCAGATCCGGTCTTGGGACTCCTAAGAAGCAGCTATACGCTGCCCAAGATAGGAGTGACGCGAGTCAGAAATTAGTTCATGACGGTGGGCTTGGGGATGGAATCTCACGATATCTCTTTGCAGTTTTTCGTTTCATAGATGTTTTGCGTCATCATCTCCCTTCAAGTTGTAGCTGGTACTGCATTTCCCTCTGGTAGCTGTTAACCTAGAAAATATGTCAGAGTGATATTCTTTTCAGTTTTACATTTAAAAATAGATTACTATAGAAATATTTCAAACTTTGAAGTTGAACCTCTTACCAGAAATTTTTGAAGTAGAGTTTTTTTAATCACTAATTTTTCCTTCTTTTCAGGGAACTTTTGGAATATGAGTGCTTCATGTCTTTTGACTTTGTGGTGGAAAACACTTGTTTCTTATCATTGATTTCTCTGCTGGCATATTTTTTCTCTTACTACATATAGGTATCTTTCATCTTTGAATCTTTTCCTCTGGTTTCTAGGTATTTTCTTAAGATTATCTTCCAATTTATTGATCCTATTTTCTGCAGGATCTAACATTTAGGTCTCATTTTAATTGGTTTTTTTTTAAAGGCATTTTCACCTTAAAGAATGATCACAGGAAAAAGACATGCGTCATCTCTTGAATCTTGTTGAGAGTACTAATTAAATAGCTTAACATTTCTTTTTGCTTTGAAGGAGTGACTTCGTTTGCCTCTGTTCTTCAGGCTGAGCTTCTGGTGTGGTGAATCATTCCATAAACCGGAGAGCGCTTCTGCCTCCTCATTTATATCTTTTTATCAGAGCAGAGGGCATGGTATGAGGTGGTGAGCACATCGGCTGAGATGGATGGAGAGGGGTTTCAACTCATGTGGAAGGCTACTTCAGTTAGATGATTCTGCCCTCAGTCTGCTTCCACCAGCTGAATCTTATGAGAAGCTTTTGTGAATAGTTTTGCCTTTCCTGATTTCCAGCACATACACATGTCCCATCCCTCATTAAAAAAAAAAAAAAAATTCCCCGGTGCTCATTTTAACTCGTATGGGCAGGGAGACGTGCAGTTAGGGAGAAAGGGAAACGTTTAGATGCTGAGACTCAAGTTATCACAGTGCATCAAGTATCCGTGCCATGTATGCGCATGCAACCCCGTATGGCCACGTTGAGTATTGCAAGAGTCAGCGTTCACAAGGAAAAAGGGAAATGCCTATCCTGGCTCTCATCTAAGGTTGTCCATGTACACAGAAGTCTCCGCACATGACTTATCCTCGCCACATGGCTCTTGTTCTCCCTCACAGAAAGATGTCGACAAGGAGTTCTATTTGTTTCCCACCGTGTTTGATGAGAATGAAAGCTTACTCCTGGATGATAATATTAGGATGTTTACTACTGCACCTGATCAGGTAGATAAGGAAGATGCAGACTTTCAAGAATCGAATAAGATGCACTGTAAGTACTAAATCCGCCACCAATGGGTCACATTCTTCCTGGGGCACAGGGAGTCCTGTGCTTAAACCCAATAGCCGCTGGGAGTGCTTTGTGCCTTGATCGTTGGGGAGGACTTGGTGCTCTGAGATGAATCACATTGGTTATTTGGTGGGTCGGTCCGTTCCACTGAACTGGGAAT